TTATTTATAGATCAAAAATATGTCTTCTTGCTTTCAGCAGGAAATAAACTTCATTTGTTGGTGCTTTATCACCCAACACAGATATAAATAGTAATTTACTTTTAACCATAGCAAAATGGAATATTACATTGATGAATATTTTGTGTTAAGGTTTTAATAATTTATTAAAATTTGAACGAAAGTAGGTCGGGTATGTTTTGAGTTATAAAAGAAGCTTCAATACGATTTATGGCAAAAAGAAAAAAAAACCCCGTAATTTTTGATGATTCAACAATTAATAAGATATGTTTTGATAATTTTGAAATTTTTAATTAATTAATAATTATTATTAATTATTAATAAATAATAATAATTATTAATCAATTTGCATAATTATAAATTCTAATGGTCTAATAATTGATTAATTATCTAATAATAATAATAATATAATAATTATTATATATATATATAAGTTCCTGAAGAGCATGAGAAATTGAAATATCACTTAAGAATAGAATGAATAGCAATTTATAGCTTTTGCACCAGAACAGAATTGAGATGGCCCAGTATAGTTGAGCCACTAAGCTGACCACAAGAGCAATACTGACCACATTGCCACAGTACTGACCCCACTACTATGAAGCCTTTATCTCCCTGCTGCCTTACTGGCTGTTGAGGCAATAATTCTCCTTTACACGAGGGCTGATATTGTTCTCATAAAAAGTTTTTGATGTTAATAAAGAATTCGGAACAATGAAGTTATCGAAATAGGATAACTGAGAACCGTTTTGTATCGTTGTATTCAATCATTCTCAATAAGTTTCAGAAGTTATTCCAGAAGCAATTCTGGAAAGATTACGAAGAATTCTCATAGTGGAATTATGTCTTGGAATTACATGTTTGTAATTGCAGTTTGAATATTTTTGACTTCGTTGGACTTGGAACTATTATGGAACGTTTTACTTCGGCATCTTCAACAGTCCGAATAAATTTTCGGAATGTCTTGTCCATTTCATAAGCGATTCTGAAAGCATTGCAAGGCATTTTCATAGTGAGATTATCTTAGGAATTCCATATTTGCATTTGTAAATTGTTTGAATGAATAATAAAAACCTTGAACAAATTTTAAAAGTCTTGTAAAAATTATCTCATTCCCTCAAAAACTTGAATAAAGGACATTTTATGTTGTTCATTTGTACCTGCATCAACTATTGAAAAAGTGCTTTCTTCACCCCCCCCCCAGTTCTCTTGAAAATATGATTCTTAATGCTCACATAAATATTCTGACTGTGAATTTATCCCCAATAATTACGCATCAGTTAACTTTTCTAAAAGTTAAAAAAAAAAAAAAAAATCTAAAACTGTTTTTTGCCGAAAACCAGAAACAGTTAACAAATGACACTCAGGAACAATTTTTTCTTCCTCTGTTGCCTGAAATTTTTAACTCATTTTAGATATTTTCGAGTAGTTATCATTTAGAGAGAAATTAACCAAACTGTTGGAATGTTGGAAATAGCAAAAACCTCAGTGCACTGCCGCGAAGCGGCATTTACTGATTCAACGATAATATCGATGATGTTTTTTCAGTTGTTGGCAAGACATGAAAAAATAAAAAATCACAGCGAAAAAACGAAAAGTACAGAAGTACATTTCTTTTCAAAAAATTAATATTGGTAGCTAAATTATTTCATACTTGAAATTTATCTTGGAAAATTAAGATGGTCGCATTCACCATTATTTATTAATTGTTAGCCGCATGCGGTGACCAGGACCATCCCCTCCTACATCAGAAAGCCTCCACACGGTTTCTTATAAGTAGTCTGAGCAGATTATTTAAAAAGCGAACCACTTGTGCGCATCAACCCAAATTCTATTTTAATAGTACTTGAGAGAAATTTATCATATATATTTGAGAATTGAATCTGTAGTGGTTGACAAGTAAATAAAATAAACCAATTATATTCATAAATTAAACATATTTTTAGACATATATTTGCTACCACTTTCTAATTTTTTATAGATTTCATATTAAATGGTTCTTTCAATTTTCAATAATCGGACTACCTACAAAAAACCGCATGAAGGCTTTAAGTTATAGGAGGCATAATTATGGCGGGGCAGTCGGGTTTTTTTCAAAATGAAGTACTCTAATTATGTATATATATATATAGGAAAGAAATTGTGTTTAGATAGAATTGATGAAAAATTTCTTTTTTGTAATTGCCATATCTACTTTAATATAAAGGGAAGGGTAAAAGACCTTTTTCGAAAATTATTTCCATTTATTAAAAGAACAAGCACGCTTCGCATAGAAGGGGAAAGGTCGCAGCTGCATGTAGCTACTTACTTAGTTGCTTCCTCTACCATCTAGTGCCAGACCCAGTGGCGAGACAACTGGGGGTGGCATAGGGCCGCTCTGAAATTTAAGTGATGGGTCAACCAATATGTTTCCTCTCTCCTGAAATGAAGACACTCAAGTAAAATCAGCACAAAAATTCAGACAAAAATAAAATCAAGTAAAATCAGTACTTCAAAAAAAAAAAGTTTTTTTTTCTCCAATTTTGAAATTATTTTTCAAATAAAAAACTTTATATTCCTCTAAAATTTAAGTGAGGGGTAGAATAATGTGCTTTGCCCCTTCCGATATTTAGTCATTCGCCTAGACGAAGCAAAGTAAAATAGGTAATTTTAGAGGGGGGGGGGGAAGCTATTCTTTCTGAACTTTGAA